AGCCCATCACCCACCCTCTCCAGCTGCCCTATCTTGCCTTTTACATCACACAGACTACCAGCTCCCTGGGGAAGGAAGGGCATTTAATTTTGCCCAAAGCAGGAGGAATGGAAGGCCAGTAGCTGAAGCTTTGGCAGGGCTGGTTTCACATCTTCGGTGAGTCACCCAGCTGCCCTGCTTCCATCAGGTGCAATGTAAATCCAGACCAGTGCCTGTTCCTTTTCATTAAAAGCCTTGAGCTCACTGCAGAAAAGATGAAAAAGGCTGGTCATTATCCATTACATGTGACCCATTCACTTGCTGATGGGCTGGTTTTCATCTCCCTGCCCTGCCTGTAGGCAAGCATCCCCCAATACCCTAATCAGCTTTTTTTATTCTTCACCATTTATTTTCCTGGGGGCCTTGTCAATGGTGGCTCCATTCCTTCCCCATGCCTCCCAGCACTGCAAATTCAGAGGCATTAAAAGGTTCCAGTTCAAGCTAACAAATTCCAGAAAGTCTGACCTTGTATTATGAAGCCAATGTAGGAAGGATTTGAGAAAAGCACAATGTGATGAGAGAGCTGGGAAGATGCAGAGCCCGGCTACACCCTGGTAACGTGCAAAGGTGAACTAGAAGGGGAGGCGGGGAGGGGGGGGCATTTGGAAGCCCATTAAATGAGGGCTTATCATCCGATTTATGTCAATCACTTCAAATGCCTTCATTTATTAAAAGTATTAAGCTGCATTAGTGTTTGCCTTTAGTCTCCTGATTTGGTTGCTAATGTCTAAGACAACTGTTGAAATTAATTTGAAATTAATGTTCCTATATAATTACTTAATGAATCTCACATTCACTGCCCTTAGCTCTCAGTTAACAAAGGATCTCACCCACTGCATGTAAGAGGTTGGAATACCTACTGTGATTTTTAAACGGTTGCTAAATTATAGTTTGCAAATATTTTACATTTATATCACACACTTCATCTTGAAGGATCTCCGTGTGTTTGAAATGTTACATAACATTCGTTCTTTAGTAAAATTCTGTCACAAAAACTTTCTGGGCATCAATCTTCTTACTTCCCTGCATGCCTTGGAATTAAATCAAATTTAGCTGTATTATTATGCAAACACAAAATCATACCTGCATTAAAGATTATTATTGGGGCTGTAAAGTCAGACACTTAAAAGATAGGAAATGCTAGAACCGTAACTCTATGCAATATACATTCCTTTTTCCATACATATGCATTCTCACAGTCTTTAATTTTATGATCATATATTTTCCTATATGCACCCCCTCCCCTAGGGGACTTATTAGTCCTTGTTAGTGTTCAAGAAAAAAACAGGTAAGAAAAAAATAAGGCTCAAGAAAAAGCTAGCAGGGGAAACTAGCAACTTGTGGAGTCCTTGCCTCATTCCTTACAAAAGCTGCAAAGGTTGTTATGCGTGTTCTTCCTATTCTGGGTGGCTGATTTGATACTCCATAAATCCTGATTGGCAGAAATGCTGAATATGCACAGCAGTAACTGAAGCTAAAGAAACATTTGGACGTGCAGAGCATTTTACATACTACTGAATCCAGGGAAACATGGGTCCTGGGGTCTCACACCAAGCACTTAAAATTAGCCTACACTTCAAAGAGGGGAAAACACTGCTCTGTCTCTCAGGGATGGTAGAAAATGTATTAGAGCATTTGCAAAGCACACAAACTGTTGTGATACAGAGACCCAAACTTACTCATTCTGTGCAGCACGGTGTGGACATGGTGCAATAAGCAGGGAAATGGACACAAGGTGACCCAGGAACAGAAAGCGACTAGGGAAACTGTTTGTGCTCTTGTGCAAACTAGCAGAGGAGGCAGGGACCCGACTGGAAAACAGCAAGGGCTTTCCTGAGACAAAAGAGCTGAACTGAAGGCTTTCCAGACAGCCTTCATTCTGCCTGCTCACCATTTTGTGTGCTTATCTATGACTTGGCATTTTTTCTTACCTGTATATAGTTTCTCATGGATCAAGGTAAATTGAGTGGACAAACTCATTAGTAATCAGGGGCTCTTCAGAGCTTTCCACTTGAGTTGGCTGAACAGTGTTTGCTCTGGGACGCCCTTGGCACCTAGGCTGGAGAAAGCTGCAAAACACCACCTCAGTCTTCAAGCAGAGGAGCTGAGGGCTGGTGCCACATGCCCCAGAATGGCTCACACTAATGATACCATGTCCAAGTCTCCAGGCTCAGCTGAGGGACAGGCTGGTGAGCAGACCGGGTCCCCAAACACAGGGTAACCACCACCCTCTTTGTGACCTCAATCTCCTTCTCACAACACAGAACAGACTTCCCTGCAGCCCACACTCAGGCATTTGTCACATGCACACTCCCACATTGTCCTACTTTCTTAACTAGGAATCCAAATCTCTCCTGCACTCAGAACCTTGCCAAACCTCCTCCCTCCCTCCACCACAATCCCACCATCAACAGGTTGAGTATCTCCTTCACAGATCCCATTGTCTTCCCTCAGCATGTCCTCCCTCACACCCCCAAATCATTCTTATCTCCCACACTTCAGTATTCCTCTGCTAAGAGGGATCACAGAAACATCTTCAAGGAAGACAAGCATGGTCAATATAAAAAACTCAAGCCTCCAAGCACACAGAAAGATTAGTTCAAGTTGCATAGCAGATGAATTAGGCATGAATTGTTACAGTGGCATGCTGGACAACCACCTCAACTTCCCTCTAGAACACTAAACCTGTCAAAAGATGAAACAAAATGGGGGGGAGGGGGAAAGTATTTAGCTTCAGTCTCAAAACCAGCTGGGTTTTTAAATTTTTATTACAAAATTAAACAGCCAATCTTAAATAGAAAGCTTCTAAAGTATTAATTTATCCTAGAAAGCTTAAAATAAGAGGAACTACATGACCACGCAATAGAGAGCAAAAAATTAATAACAGAGTGGTAATTATACAGGCCATCAGCCTCCATGAAGTGCTTGATTTTGCAATAAGCTACATTCTGATACCTCCTTACTTTATTTTTCAGCCAGAGGTTTCAGGTCATGTGCTACCAGCTGAAGATTACTGAAGAGTGCAGGGCTATCAGACTATTTAAGCCTAGGCTTCTCTTCCAATTCTGCTTTTGTGAAGAAAGCAAAAAAAGATACTAACACAAGACAACTGTGGCTCAGCAAAAACCAAGGAAGATGTCTTGAGGCAAAGATGCTTTTCCGCCTCAGTGGCTTCCTCCTGCTGCTAGCAATTGAATACAACAGGGCTGCTCTAGCGAGTTTTCCAGAATCCTGTAATGGAAAACAGCTGTCCCTACACCCAAAGATTGCACCAGAGAGTTCCATAATTTTTCTGTCATCTTCTTTTGGTCAGTCTCATTACTCAACTTCCCAATATTGATGTGTTAACACCACCAGCAATTCCACAGTTGCACTGAATGTACTAAACTCCCATTGTTAACTTGAAGATGTTTGCATTGCTCTTTGCTGCTCAGTACACAGACTTTTTACTTGTTACCTGTCCAAATATAAACCCCAGGACTTTGCATTCTACTGTATTGGGCTGTACAAGCCAGACATTTCAGAGTATGTCACTTACTTGAGCAAAGCCTATGTGAAAGGGCCTCCCTTTCTTTTCCCAAGCAGCACAAAATGAAAGCATCCATCACCTGCTGACACAGTTCGTTTTGCAGAAAGTCAGCTGGCAACGGAAGGTCTCAAGTGTTTGCAGAGCTATCTTCAGAAACCAGCAAGGGTCACAGCAAACCTTGCCTCCACCATAAACATAGCACCACCCAAACAATTTGTGGCAGGGGGAAGCTTCCTAGCATTCTGCATTAATAAAGGCAATTATTAGATACTCAGTTACGTAGTTAACAAGGTTAAAGCATTTAATACCATTACTGCATGTCCATCAACTAATACCTTTATTCTGAAATCTTACTTTAAGAAACAATTGTTTCTGCCTTCTACAGTGAACTGCTGAAAAAGGAAGCAGCTGATTCAAATTCATTAAGTACATAGCTGTGTCTGCCCTTTCGTTAATTTATTTTTTAAAATTTGCAATCTTGGGCAACAATTCCAGGATGGTCATATCCCCCCCTATACCTTTGGGTACACTACCTTTAATAGCTCCTTTGGGGAGGTTTCATGGAATTGGTAATAGCTTTTGTAATTTCCACCTTCTGTTTTCTAGTTCAGAGAGTAATCGAATCCAGTTACTACTGGTGTATCTATCTGGCAACTATTTGTTGGCCTCCATGAAACAAGCTGGAAGTCTGATTTCCGTTCTCAGCAGGCTTGTTTGTGTGATACAGATGAACTGCTGCAACCAGCAAATTGGAGTCAATTTCAGCAGAGATTCTTAGGCTTAAACAAGCATGAGAACAGAACTTCTCTCACCTCCAGAGATCTCTTCTTTAACAAGCTTGAGAAATGACAGCACAAGATTGGAGAGTTTGGACTTCTGCTGTTTTAAGATGCACTTTAAAGTACATTTATCTTTTGATACCAAACTGGCACCCATACGAAATCACTAATAAAAATAAGTCATTATGAAATCAAATTTTGAGACAAAATAAGCTGTATTGCTCCTCAAAACTCCTTTCTACCTCTGCTAGAATTTAAATGGAATACTTGAGTATTTTACTTCTTTTTGACAACTCCACATCCCCTGTGACAGAGAAATTCACCAGTCTTCATTCTGGTAATGTTTTTTTTGGTTCCCCACAATGGGAGCTGGTGCAATGCCATCAGCCACTGACGTAGCATTAGTAGCATTCTAGGTAAGTCCATGAATTCTGTCACACATGGCATTTTAGAACAAAAATACAAGTTACCAGGTTAGCAGAGGCTGAACATACAACTAGACTAAGATTAAAAACTTTATTTTTTTATACAAAACAATAATAAATCCAAGAAGATAATGAACTAAGTGTGTGTTCTCATTTTCCACCTTTTCTTCTTTTCTCAATATAGTCTATCCACAGTTCAATCTTAATCGACTCCATATTCAGCAAAAACTATGAGGTTTCCATCTTGTATCCATGTTTTTCTAATTCAGCTCTGTACAGAAAAAAGATAGGTATATTAAAACACACAAATAAAATAGATATTGATTTTTTTAAATTAAATACACTGCACAACAATCATTTTAGAATACGAACATGTCATACTGATTTTGGTTCATACCAATAACTTTCCTTAGTCAAGGTTTTGGTTCATACCATAACAAATAACCAAGAAATACACAGTTCTTCAACTTCAGCTTAGTATCTTAGATCACTAGAGGTGGCTTCAAAGTGAAAAATCCAAATACTTGCTTTAATCATACTTACTGCCCTCTGACCCACCATGGCTGGAGTACAACTGTGTGGTGCAAAGCAGCACCTGTGAGCCTGCAACAACTTCAAACACATCAGGGGAAAAAAAAATACTATCTTCTACAGTTATTCTCAAGATTTCCTGAATCCAAATGAACTCACTAATCTGCAGAATTTAAATGGATGCACTTCCAAATTAATTTTAGCTTTTACTTTTTTTTCTTTTAAAAATAACAGAGTGCACTATTTCTAAATCTTGGTGCAATACACCTTCCACTGAACAATTCTGAGGGAGGACTGCTTTGTTTGCCTCAGCTGTGGCCAGCAAACACAAAGGTTATTGCTCTTGCCCTGTCCCCAGCTTCTCACCTGCCTCCAAACACACCAGCCAGAACTGCATCCTGTTTTATCTCCTAATCTTAGAATACATGTATTCAGATAGAGTAGTCAAAATCTCTAAATATTTCAGTTTAGTTTAGATACTTAGTAGTGGAATTTTAGAAGTGGAGGACTGCACCAATTTCTTTAAAAAGATTAAATAGAAACATGCTGCAACCAAACAACATTGCAAACAATCATTTAAACACTAGTAAACAGTCACCAATACTACAGACTACAATTAAGGCACAGTTATTGAACATTTGTCGAGACCAACTGTGTTTATCAAGATTAGTTTATCCCTTGAAAAGTCTGTTTTACTATGTTTCAACTTGTTTTCTCAATATTACAGTCCAGCATCCTTTCAACCTTATAAAAAACAACTATACCAAAGACTATTTCTTTATCTCCTACATAATCACCAGAGCACAAAGGAGATGAACCCAGGAACTGTTTAATCAGCCTGTATTACACATAGTTTGCTCCTCATGCAACATACTGAGGGATTGATTATAAAATGTGACTTTGCATTGATGCTTGAAATAATTTAAATTACGATTATCCGTCAGTAAAGGATTAACTGAAACTACAAGTGACAAAGAAAGAGGATTAAGCAACTGGATTAGGGGTATCGAAATTGCAGTAACTTTCTTACGGCATGTGACAAACAATTACTTTGCTATTGTTGCTCATAAATAGCATGCTCCTCACAATCACAACCAAGAAATGAACCTTAACATTAATACAGATAACCCATCTCTGGAAAATTAGTCCAACTGGACAAAGAACACCAAAGCTATTTGAAGGTATAGAAAAAACACTGGTAACAACACATTTTGAATACCAGATAGCATAGCAGACAGAGTCTTGAATCTCTTGCCTTTAATCTTTGTCGTAGAACTCACAATTTTCACACACATACAGAAAAGTCATTAGAAAATTATACATTCCTGTTAAATTGAAATAATGCCAACTGTATCACAATCTGCAGGTATCTTTGTACTATATTGCATAACATTATAAAAGCCTGAACATGTCAGTGACATGAGGCATATTTCAGGGCTCTCGGTGCAATTATCAGAAGATGAAATGCTGATCAGTACTTCAAACTGTGCTGTAACCCCTTAAATCCAGTTCTATACAGTTTTAAATAGAAAAGCACAAAGCAGAGATTTCATTTATTTCAGTTTCAGATCTCTATTGTTTAAAGTAAGCATATTTCAAGCTTTCAGATACTAACAACACCCTTGTAAACACTTTACCCACCTTCTAGAATAAGAAGATTTAAAAAAAAAATTACCTTAACTGATTGGAAAAATCATCTTCAACATTGTCATCATCCCAATTGTCTTCCCAAACGTGTGCATCTTCATCTTCATCTAAACCAGTCCAATCTAAGACAGGAAAAGAGGTCTAAGTATTCTATGCCACACTGCTTTGGTAGCATGTCTTACTGACAGATTAGCTCAGCCTCAGGGTAAGGCAGGCTTCAGCTGCTAACAAATTTCTCTGTTTAACAGAAAAGTCTGTAGCATATGTAAGTGTTTATGAGACCGAAAAGCACAGAATCGTCTAAAAAAAACCTCCACAACTTATTGAATTGTAATAAAAATGCAATCTGGTAAAAAAAAATTACACACTTCAGATGATGGCTTGCAGGATTACACATTCATAAAGGATATTTTGCATGCAAATAGGCAAGCTGTAGCAGCACTGTAAACAGAAAGCAATATTGAGTACTTCACTCCTAAAGCTAAAAAAAACCAAACTGTACAGTTCCAGGTTTGGATTTTAATACTTTTTTTCTTGATTAAAAAAGTAAATATGTATCAAAAGCTCTTGCCAAAACACATACAAACACATCCTCAGTTCACCCAGATCTGATGCTGACAGTCTATGGATAAAGGCCAAAAATGTATCTGGGATGCAGGAGCAAAGGCAAATTGAAAGAGACATCTGCAAACAGCAGTTGCTACCCATAACCAGCTACTTCTGGGTTCCCAAAACAGCAGAAGCTGTTTCCTTACAGAGGCAAGACACTAAATGTTCATTTGCTAACTTAATTTCTACTTTTCTTATAATCTGCCACAGAACCCTTGACAAATTACTGATTATCCACTTAATGCTTCATTATGAAATAAATAAACAAAATTAAAATTATGACCAAATTAGTTAGCTCAGAAAAATAATTTAAAAAAAATAAAGAAACTGGAAGGGTCAGTGTAGCTGTGTAAATAAAAGTCAGTTTATTCCTCTGGGGAACAGTTTCTCAGTTTTCTTTTCCTGACACACAACAAGTTTTTTCCATCATTACCAAAATAAGAAGCACCTAAATTCTGACACTCGTGATGCCGTGTTTCTCAAAGCCTGCTAGGATATTTGAAGAGATAACACTGTTCTTTCCCCTTACAATTCAGCAGCCATCTGCTGCCCAACCAGACTGAGGCCCAAAGTTACACTAAACACTGATGGAGATATGAGGGGAAAAAAACCCCAGAATCTAGTAGGATAAAAGACTAAAAAAAAAAATCACTGTGAACAAGTAACTTCATAAGAATGAAGGCTGGTCTTTGCATTTTTTTCCTCCTTTGGTAACACTGGCAGGCAACAATATTAATATTTGAGATTCATCAGGACAAGAAAACCAATTTGTAACTGATTAGAGACACACACATGTAGAAGACATTAGAATTAGACTTCCCTACTCCAGTAAATTATGTACCAGGAAAAGCTGAAGCAGCATAGAGATCCTACTGGTCTGGTCCCAGAAGAAACTGGGATGAAAAGATGAAGAAAACATGCAGAATAAAAAGAAAGTATTATTTTAATTTAGTTGTATTGCCAGCTGCTCAAAGGAAGAACTATCTGCAATAAGCTTTGCCTTTTTATATGCAATGGGGTTTTTTTGTAATAATAAAAAGTATCTTTATCCCTCATAATTTATGTGGATTTCAAAGACACAAAAAACAAAGCTCAAAATAGTTTAAAGAGAACACAAAGCCAAACTTTTCTACCTACTACCATACAAGTAACTCAGACAGATCTACAAAGATGGAAAAAAATTAATAAATTAAAACCCCAGTAACTAGTACCCAGTAAACAAATAGCAGCCTCACTCATAAAAGGGCAGCTGAGCAGACCGTGAAAAAATGCTCCACACTGAACTAAGAAGAGTCAAAAAGGCCCATGTCATCTTCCACAAGGGGCTGACGGGGGTGTGTGTTTGTGAAAGTCAAGCCTAAATTATATTCTCATTGCTGTAGCTACAAGATTCTACATTATCTGTATGTTGACATTATAGCCCAGAATTGCACACTAAAGTTATTATGTGACTTGCCTGTGACCAAACAAAAGTAAAAAATTATCTGGGATTCACAGTATTAAGAGCATTTCATAGCCTGCTACCATTAAGTATTACTAATACATACCAAAATTACAAAATCAATGTTGATAAATTTGTCACAGCTGGACTCCATAAAAAATATTTTAATATACTGATCACTGCTGTGTTTTGCAGTGGGGACAGGAAAACAAGAAACAGTTTTCAGAGTAAAGGATAAAAAAAAACCCCTATAATCGTATCATTTTACATGTTACATTTTACATTCTGAAAAACACTGTACAAAAACTTTGCAAGTGACCTGCTGACCTACACTTGACTTTACCATACTGTACTTCAGATGCAGGGTCCTATGAAAATAGGACACCTCTGCTTTCAAAACATAAACTTGACTTGATAAATTGTTTGAAGAAAAATTCTAAGTCAGAATAAAAGAAATTCCCAGAGAGACAGTGTTTCTACCCCTTTAACGTAAGTTCACATTATCTAATTTCCTTTGGATAAAAAACTGGGCAATAGAACAGTTTTTCTGCCACATAGAAAGTGATGTTTTAATTTGAAAGAAAAAAATTGGCATGGCTTTGAGAACACATTTACTGTGATTCTTTCCTAAGCACTGAAGATAACACACAACGTGGCCTGAACACTCTTTATAACCTGTGGCCTGAACATTCTTTATAACCTCTAAACACTATAATCTCACTTGAAGATTTCAATGTGTCTTTTTAGAGGTTTGTAATTTTTTGCAAGCTAGATCAGCAAGAAGCCTGATTGTGGCCACTCTTTAAGAAACCTCTGCTCTACCCAGGAAGTTGCACAGCATTTTTTTTAGCAGTACAGCTAGAATCAAGTAGAAATAATTTCACCTTCTGCAACAGCAGCTCAGTGCTCTGACCAATCAGAAGCTGCAAATCCTTCCCTCATCCCTACTGCCAACGCTTCATTTGCATTAAACAAACAGTTTTTTGCCTGTTTAGGAAACGCACATGGAAAAGATAGGCCAGTCTTAGTTTAGTTTAGCTATCAACTCAAGTACGTTAATAACTTTTTCTGTTAGTAAGTGCAAAACATTTTCCAGCAGTAAGTGCCAAAATACTATTTTTACTGTACGGAAGGATTCAGAACACCTAAGGCTTGCAGGGCCACAAAAAGCCCCCACATATCATGATGACATTTCACCATCCTGTTTTATACAATTTTATCCACCGCTTGAAACAACTGCCAACATGAAGGACACGGATAAAACGGCTGTGCACTAACGGGGACATTTTCAAGATTGTATCTGTAAAAGGACACCTGTTTTATTGAAACCCCAACTTCATTTCCTCAGTCAGTACCTCCGTACCTACGAAAAGCGAACCAACGCTTAAAATGTTTGTGCTCCAAAAGATAAGGAGACGCCGACTGAGCACGGAGCACAGCACTTCCTTGCCACACTTCTCCCACCCCTCCTCGCCCTCCTCTCCCCCGCCCCCCCC